TTCAAGTTTGTTGCAGAATAACTATTTTCTTATCTAATACTGTATCTAAATGTAAGTAAGTAGGTAGGTAGTGATCATAATACAATTTGCAGGGATAATTTAAGATTTAGATTCCCCTGGGATATTTTAGAGCTTGATCATGATTTTTACCAATATCAATAGCGGTATTCGATCACAAATAATGTGAGGCTAGTCATTACTTTGTCTATTATGTTAAAGAAGATTACAAAGAATTTAAAAGTACAACACCATGATCCATTTCTAAAATATTTTTCTTTGTACAGAAAGCAGACTATGTACAGTTCTTAATTGCCTTTTGGAGACTTGAGTTCCCTCATTACCTGTGATTTAAGCTAAAAATGAAGTAATTATAGATAACAGTGTTTATCTGGTTGATTTTGGCACCTGCAATTCTAATGCTGAAACTTTCCCTCTTTCTGGTGCTGGGCTTGAATATGCTTTATATATTTCTACTAAATTTCCTGTGAGTTTCATAGGCTATGATTTGCAAAGTTATTTGTCTAAAGGATGGAGCTTAATAAAACCAGTATTGAAGTGATTATTGGAGAAGAATTGGCTGATTTTTTTTTTCACTTCTTTGGCCCTGGTAGAAAAAAGTCTATATTGCTTTGAGAAGCAGTATTACAGAAAGCAAAAAGAATTATCAGAGTGGAGTAATAATGGTCCTATGAGGTAATTGGGCTTAATAGGCTGTTTCGTACACAAAAGGAGGGTTTGTAGCTTGTGTGCAATGACTGTTTCAATATACAGTAGACTCATAGACTGGAATTTTATTAGAGCTGCTTGGGAAGCCTGGGAGCACTACCATTAAATATGTCTCCCTTTCAAATACTTTATGTTGAATTCTCCTGGGGATAAGTCATGATTGGAGTAGATCTGGAGAACAGAATTCAATAGATGGATGAAAACAGTTCACTATAGTAGAGGCGATCATGAACATTTATCCATTGTTTCTTTTCTTTGTGTTCTTAATCTGCATAGGAATTAAGAAGAACAGTTATAATGCTTGAAAGTAGAGAAGAATTTTCTCAGTTGTCTCTATATTTTAGTAGTTACAAGAATAGGTAAAGATATGTCCCTTTTATTTGATGCACCTAAATGAGTACCTGAAAAACAGATGAACGAGCATTTAAAATTATTTTACCCAGAGAAAAGACTTTGATTTTGTTTTCTTCACTTTCTCAGATTGTATAAACATCCTCAAAAATGCACTTCCCTTATTTCTAATGTTGGGTTTAAATATTAAAACAAAAACAAAAAATATTCACTTGGCAAGTTGGGGAACAATATGGATTAGCACTCTGCCAACTCAAAATGTTAAAAAAATGTTTAGCCCTTTTGTTATACATATGTTGTATATAGTATGTTTAAATGTGTGTTATGTATGTGTAAACTGTGAGAGCAAGCAACTAAATTTCATTTTTAATGTGTGCCATTGTACCCACAGTAAAAAAAATGGCAAAGGTTATCTAATATAATCTTTACTACATAATTAACATTAACATTCCAATAGCAAAAAAAAAAAAAAACCCATCTCAAGACCACTACTGTTGATTGCCAGGTTCTCTCAATAATACTGTTCTCCATGTATATCTGTAAGATAGAGCCAATTCTGAAAAATATTGACAAGATAGAAAATAATGCATCAACTCAATAAATCTACATGGATTTTTTCAAGACCATTCAGAACTTACAGTTGGTACAGAGGACAGTGGTCCATTTATTAGCTGGTATTAATAACCAGGAATATATTATATCTTTGTTACAGTGTTTTATAGATTTATAGTATGTCGATGTATCTAAGTGGTCAGACAGAAACATGAGAAAAAAGGCCAATAGGTAACCAGGTCTTTAGGGATGAAGAGCTTTAATGGTGACAACATTTTAATTGCATACAGAAGCTCATTGGTAAGCTTTGCAGCTTAGAAAGCAGTGATATTACATGGCTGAAGCAAGAAGTGACTATAAATACCTGTCTGCATACTGATGAATGATATTATCCAGGTTCTCGTGCAGATATTGAATAAAAGTTGAATAAGTGGCGAGCCATATGGACCCTATTACTTTGGGTTGGGGTTGGATCTTTCTCATCCAACACCATCTAGAATTGCCATGGATGAAAGAAAAAGAATTATGTACACACATACACATCAACTCTAGAAGGTCAGTATATGATCAATATATACTGAGAAATGAAACAGAAAAACATTATCTCAGTCTCACCACTATCTGCAAATATGGTCAATATTGTCCCAGGCCCAGATCTGAAGGCTGATTGAAAAAAAAATCATATAAACCAGTTCTTCCATATCCACATCCTTTCATTCAAAAAGACTTGTTATGAAGATCTACACCACTGCCTTCTTCAAAGCAAATAACTCTGTCATACTTTTCATCCTCCTTTTCGTAAAATTTCGGTAGCATTGTCATGCATGCATGACAAAAAAAAACTTTAATGCCTTCTTTGCATTTATTGCTTTTATTTTTGTTTACTTGTTTTCTTTTGTACTGTATGTAGTTGCTAAGGAAAACAACACAAAACATAACAAAGCACTCACATTAATTCTTTTCCCATAACAAACAGTTTAGAAAATAAGAGTTTTCTCTCTGAACAATAACAGTAACAAAGCATACTGCATGCATAGTAGGTCGTCAGCTCTGATCCATGTGCTTAGCAACTGCTGCTTTGATTCAGTGCTTCATAGGTCCATATATACTTTACTTCCATCCACAAAGTTCCTGCCACTCAAAACACCACTTAAAATTGTGACTTTTCCAATGGCATGTTTGTTTTAATCTCAATAAAATTATGTGTGGTTATATTCCCAGCACCTTGACATTTGATGGAAATTTATTATTTAATGATTTTCAAAAGCAGTAGGATATCTATGTGCATATAGGATACTTAATAGACCATAGCAAGCTAAACTCAAAGGATACTTAACTAAGAAGAAAACTTATTAGAACAATTGTGTAACAGAGTAGCAAATATTTAACTAGACATTTCAACATAAATCAATGTAAAATGAATATCACACTCTAAATTAGCCCTAGAAAGAAATATGCTAAATAAGATGCAAGGCTTTACTGTTTCCGGAAAATTAACCATTAATTTCTTCAACATGAATTTAAAGAGCCTAACTTGATAGTTTTAGTATTAAAGTATAGTTATTAATGATTCCAACTAAGGATCCATTTATGTCTTGCAGTAATATAAAACTTAAGGTCACAATTTTAACATATAATTACCTTTGGGGTACTAAAATGAGGTATCCCAACATTTGGGTTAATTCAAAATGATTTTTACCAATCATGTAGATAAAATTTTAATCAAAATAAACAAACTAAAAACTCCAAGAAATTTAAAGCATTTGCTTGAAATCTTTTTGCAATGGGGGATAAAAATTAATGTATGAATGCCTCAGAAACTACAAAATTCTCATTTGGATGTTAGTTTTTTCTAGAGAATATTTTCTCAGTTCTTATATGGTGAGAAGCAGAAAGATGAAATGAATGAATATTCTTTGTAATTGGAAATTTACTTTTATGGTTTAAGTTCAAAATAGATATTTATTAACTTCATTAGTCAAAATAGATAAGAGCAATATAGAACAAACATATTTTTAAAAATGTACTACACAAATACGGTACCTTGATTGGTGATAACATGAGCATGTCCCTGTGATTTTCATGGGAAAAATATAAAAGTTCTTTGCTACCGTCTTCTGCATTTTTTTTATTTTCCCATCTAGCTTGCAGACATATATTTTGTTTGATCTCCCAAAAAAATATTAATCAGTTCTACCTAGCTCCTTTTTTTTTCATAACCCAAGATAAGCTAGGTGCTGCTTCCTTCCTGGGTGTAGGTAATATTCTGCTCCTTTTTTTTTCATAACCCAAGATAAGCTAGGTGCTGCTTCCTTCCTGGGTGTAGGTAATATTCTGCTATGATGTAATTTTATAACTCATCTTGCATCTTTTAAACACCAAGTATTCCTTCAGTTTTACTTACATATATACCTGATAATGTGTTTTTGTTTTGTTTTACTTATCTCATCTTCAACACCTTAATGAATAAAGAAAATCTTTAGACTATTTCATTTTAGCTTCTCAAGTGAGTGATAGCATTCTGTGAAAAATAAAGGAAATACAGTTTCATTCTTGTATTCAAATTCTCTATAAATGGTTTGAGACAATTAATTTCCAATTGTTTCCCAGCAGAGTAGATTTACTTGTATATTAATGAAGCACAGGTGTTAAGCCCCTGGTGTCTTTGTGCCTGGGAGGCATATTTAGGTTGTTTATCTAGCCAGCCGTAGGTACTGCAAGGTATTCAAGCTTGCTTTTAACAGTTTATTCAGTGAGGAGTTTTATTTCAGGTTTTTTTTTTAAAAAAAGCTAGCACCTGTTAAATTTTTAAAACTGTTCATGTAGAAAGAAGTAAAAGAGATTGCAAGCGTAAATATCGCTAAAAGTTAACTGAAGTCATCTTCTATCATTCTTAACTGCCCAGCTTGATAACATGAAGAAAAGAAGCTTCATTTAAGGAAATCTATCATGTGAAGAACTATCAGTCAATGCTATACTTCTCTGATCCATAATTTTGGAGTAAGGTGTCCTTTTAAATAGATACTGTTTTATCTATGGGTGAAACCCAAATGTGCTTGTATTAATATTCATTTTTCTTGTTTATTCACTGAGCTGCATTGCTAACGTTTTAGAGGAAATGGAATAGCCTCCATAGACATTATGAATTTCAGTTGCTGGCATAATTACAGTCATCTACATATTCATTAAATTCGAGGAAGAAATGTGTCCAAAAAGACAACCATGCGTTTAGAAATAGGACAGTGCTAAATATATACATTTAAAACTTCCTTTTCTTTTGTTTATCTCAAATTATGTTACACTGCTTCTCACTTAGCTAAGTCTTTAATAATAATTTTAAGAAGTTATTTTCTTATGTTTGTTCCACGTAGTAAAGAATGGGAAGAATTATTTGTAAACAACAATTACTTGGCAACCATACGGCTGAAGGGGATTAATGGGCAGCTGAGAAGCAGCAGGTTTCGTAGTGTTTGCTGGAAGGTAAGAAGAAAATACTTATTTACAGCTTGTACTTGTAATAAATCACCACATTATCTGATGCATTTGAAGATTGCTAGTGTAAAGAACTGTAGCATTTTCCAAGAAATTTCAGTCTGGTATTCTTATGAGCTGTTACCATGCACAAGACAGGAATTAATTTGAAATACTGTAGCTGAAAGTTTTGAAAGATGATGTCTGGTCAGATATATGGAATGATGACGGAATATTTGGTTTAACAAAATATTGAGTGATCACAAAAGTATACTTAAATGAAACATATCTGTTAGAATAGTGAAATATCCATGGTTGCTTCTGAAATATCTGGAGAAAAAAAAAGTAATGTTTGTGATCAACAAGAATCAGTAAAAATTTTTAGTCAAATATAATAGTAGTGGCTGTATTATAATATAACTAAAGATCTATCCTACTATATTACAAAACACAATAGTCCTGCCATACCACTATATACCATTCACTTAGACATTCAAAACATGTATATATTTCAAAATGGGCCAGAAGTGAATAGACTTTACATAGATAGAATTCCAACAAATTTTGGAATTGTGTTTAAGCAAAAATGGCAATAATAATGTAAAAAAATTATCAGTCTCATTCAAATTAATTACAGTAGATTTATTTTTAGCATAAACAGTCATGCAGTAGTGGCAAATATCTGTAGCTTGGATATAGGATGAGAGTGAAGGTTCATTCTCCAAGCTTGTGGGTTAGTTTCTGAACATTTCATTACCAGGCTAGGTAATATCTTCATCAGAGTTTAGGACAGGGGTAGGCAACCCAAAACACTCAAAGAGCCACTTGGACCCGTTTCCCACCAAAAACAAAACACTGGGAGCCGCAAAACCCTTTTGATATCTAAAATGAAGATAACACTGCATATATCCTTTTTTACCTTTATTATAGGTGTGTGTATGTGTGTGTGTGTATATGTGTATGTGTGTGTGTGTATATATATACACACACACACACACACACAGAGAGAGAGAGAGAGAGACACACACACATACACACATTAAAAATAAAAGTAAAAATATGACTCTTGGGAATATCCATACTATTAAAACAATGATCACCAAGAGAATGCTTTAAGAGAATAAAATTACATACACACACAGGTAAAAAAAGGATATATGCAGTGTTATCTTCATTTTAGATGTCAAAAGGGTCTCTCTCTCCCTCCCTCTCTATCTGCCCTTGGTCTGCCACTCCTCTTCCCCCACTCTCTCTCTCTCTCTCTCTCTCTCTCTTTCTTTCCCCCCCCCCCTCCTATCTGCTGCTCACCTGGCAAGCTTCAAGCTGTTGTCCAACAACCTCTGGGGTAGGCAACCTCGTCTCTTTTATGACTCATGGACTTCAACTCCCAGAATTCCTGAGTCAGCCTAGCTGGGCTAGCTAGCTCTCTCCTGCCCTTCCTGCTTCCTGCTTCCTCAGAGACGCAGCAAAGGGAGGAGCTCCGCCCAGAAAGCTTTTCAGCTCCTCGGAGAACACTGTGAGTGCACTCTCTTTTACACACACACACACACACACACACACACACACAGAGAGAGAGAGAGAGAGAGAGAGAGAGAGAGAGAGAGAGAGAGAGAGAGAGAGAGAAGCAGGGAAATGCAATTGCCTCTCTCTGTCTCTGTCTCTCTCTGCAAAGGCAGAGAAGGCTGGGAGCCACAAGGGGAGGCTCAAAGAGCCGCATGCGGCTCCGGAGCCGCAGGTTGCCGACCTGTGGTTTAGGAGGTGTCAGTGTTCTTTTTTTATATAAGAGCTTCACTGTGGGTGTGTCAAGTGAGCATCTTGTGATGGGTCAGTTGTGACTCATCAGTGAGAATCTTGTGACAAGTCTTGCGATGGGGAGGTTACATCAGGTCAGGATTATTGGGAGGTCATATAAGAAGTCATATATGTTAAAAAGGTAAAAAGATAAATATTTTGGGTCAGTAGAGCATAGATCAGCTGATTATTTTAACAGACTGAAAAGAAATATGTAGAGATTAGAAGAGGTTATATTTTTTTCTCCATTAAATAATGAAAGAAAATGCCTTATGGAAATAGCAAGATGTGTTAAGAAAATTAAAAGCTGGCTTAAAGTTTATGCTTATCTTGAGATGTTTATAGTATGTTTTATAATACTTAAATTACAAGTTCAGAATTACAAATTCAGAATTAGCAACTCCTATGATACCATTATGAAACAAACAGTCATTATGAGATACTAAAGCTGAAATAGAAAAATCAAAGTTGTCTGTATTACACATGGAAACCTGTTTTGTATTCAAGCAGTGGAGACGATCAGTAGTGAAGGATTCTTGAATCAATATCCAGAAGGCCACTGGTTGCCATTACTGGATGCAAATATTTCTTTCCCGAGTCTATAAATTTTCCAGGAAAACAAAGCAACCTTGTTGGTCAAGAGAAGAGAGAATGAAAATTCTGGTACTAAGCAGAGCGTAGGAGAGGGAAGAACTCTGAAGAACAGGGTTGGGTACCAATCCACAAATATAATTGTTGCTCAAACACAAAGAAGAAATGTCTGTGCCTAATTTAAAGCAAGGGTGGATATATTTTTCAGGTTAGTTAGCATAGACCCATAAAATAATAAGTTTGGAAGGGATTCTTGGAGATTTTTTAGCCAACTCCTGCTCAAAATTGGATCTAAGCAATATATTTTACTTGCAATATGGGGCCACATTTTCAGGAATAGTGATTGCTATTGGGATAAAAAAAAGTAATAGTTGTTATAAATTTACATTTAATTCAAAGTAAATATAATGAATATAATGGTCCAGTATTTAGTTTTTTTTGTCAGTTTGGTATAGTGGTCAAGATGCCAGCCTAGAAACTAGGAGAGTGTGAGTTCTGGGTCTAACTTAGGCATAAAAGCTAGTCATTGTCTCTCTATCCAGCATGTCAGGTGCAAAGAACCAAGACCATTCATTGAGTTTAAGCACAGGGTATTTTTTATTGCTATCTATACACAAAAATCTAGGTAACTAACAAAACCAAATTGGCTCTAGATAAGGATCAACAGAATTCAAGGGGGACTTATTCTTCAAAACCAAGAATACTAGGTCCCAAGTTTGTACTAATGATAAACTAGAAGTGTGAAAACAGAGTAACCCTATCACCATTAGAAATGAAATAATAAGAGTTTCAAGAATTTAAAAAATAGAAAACAGTTCCTTCTTATTTTAAAAAGAACTGTAAGATGCTAAGTACTATGATCCATTATAGCAAGAATCAGTATTCCATTAGATTGCTGAATTTTGAAATAAAAATTAAAATGGCTAAAATGTAACAAATTTGTTCAAACTTTAAAAAAATTTCTATTCTCACATGAGACCTCTTAAAAATTTTATATTGTATTATTGTATCGCGTCACATCACATCACATCAATCACATCACATCACATCATATTATATTATATTATATTATATTATATTATATTATATTATATTATATTATATTATTATATTTTACTGTGTTTCCCCGGAAGTAAGACCTGGTCTTATATTATTTTTGCCTCCAAAAGATCCTACTTTAGGGTGGTGCCTTATATTTTCCATGACACTTGCCTCGCCTCGCCGCAGCAGCATCAATAAGCTGCTGGTCCAATTCTGCAGCCGCTTGCAGGAGATCACATGGCACATCATGCTGCTGTTGCCAAAATGAGGCGAGGCAGGTGGGTAAGAGGTGGAACTGCCCCATGTGCCCTGCATCCGCTTCCTTCAGGGCCCTCCCCAGCTAAGCCATTCCTTGCTCCCTTTCACTCCCCTCCTGAGTCGGACTGCCATGCTGCCATACGGAGGATTGGCGAGGTAGACTTAGTCCCCTTCTGCCATTTTGGAGCCAGGGGGAGTGATGGCGAAAGGCTCCGCTGCCTCTGTGTGACACTGGAGGGGCTTTCTTCATGCTTCACCCCCACAGATCACCTGCCTGGCGGCAGCCGCTGCCTCCTCCACCAATTCCACGGCTTATGCCGTGACTGCCGCCTCCCTCCACCAGCCCTCCGTCGCCATCAGCAGGAGGGGAACAGTTCTGCACAGCAATGCAAAGTAGAGCACAGAAATGCAGAGCACTTGTTTGCTGTCCTATATCGCCCTGCATCTCCCTTCTCTGTTCTCGAAATGGCATCCCTGTTTCCTGCCGCTTCTCCTGGTGCTGCTATTGAGCTTGGTGCACTGTTGCCAAATTCCTCCCTCTTCCCAGAAGCAAAAAAATTCTTCACTAACCTGCTTTCCAGTTCTGGCACGTATCTTTCCTGCTGCAGGGAAATGGAGTTCGCGAGACTAAAAAAAGTTCGGTCAAACCTTCAGTCAGAAAAAAAAAAAGATCTTACAAAGTTGAAAGGTCTGACTGAACTTGTTTTAGTCTCATGAACTGGTTGGGAGGAGCCCTGAAGGAAGCAGGTGCAGGATGCATAGGGTAGCTCCACCCCTTCCACACCTGCCTCACCTCATTGTGGTGGCAATAGCGCAATGTACCACATGGCCTCCTGCCCCATTGCAGCAGCCAGGTGGGATGGATTGGGTGGAGTCCTAATTAGGACTTATATTAGGCCCACCCCCACAAATCAGGGTGGGGGTTTATTTTTGGGAAAACACGGTATATTACATTACATTATTTCAGTTTAGTTATATTATAAATCAGTTGTTTTATTTAATTTATATATTTTGGAATCCATAACTGCATGGAAGTACAAAGTGATTATATTTGCTTCAAAAAGGTAAGGGCCCTATTTTAAGGAGCCTGAAAACTTTAAACTTTTAAGTTCTACATTTAGAATTACCACTTGGATTGTAAAAGAAAAGGAACAATATGTGATAAGACTAGTTACATATTTTGTATGCTTTTACTATCAGATAAACATGTTGAAGTGGCTTATTTTCAATTTTGTTATTAGTTAATTGATTTCCTCATTAATCACAAAAATGATTGACATAAAATAATGTGTTGAGGCATTATAAGCAATTTATTTTAGTGATATATGAAAAAATATTTGACAAATAGAATTCAAATGACTTTGCATCCATTGTAAATAAATTTCTTTCACATTTCTAGAGAATTTCTTTTAGAAAATACGCTATATTAAAAATGATGCTTATTTTTCTGACCCATGTTTTGTTTGACTTTACAGCTATTTCTGAATATTCTACCTTCTGATAGAAATCATTGGATTACAAAAACAATAAAATTAAGAGCATTATACAATAATGTAAAAGAAATTGTAAGTAGGGTTTAACGGTAATTTATTTATTTTTTAATTCATATTTTCATTATGCTTTAAATACAGCTACAGTAATGCCTTTTTCCTATCTACAGCATATTACAAACCCTCGGAAAGCTGGTCAGCAAGACGTAATGATCAACAATCCACTCTCACAGGATGAAGGGGTAACTAGGTTGCATTTATATTTTTGACTACATAAATTTTTTTATTTAAAATGTGATTTAAAAGATTATTTATATATAAACATTTAAGCTAGTGAGTAGCATGTTTCTCTGGACATATTGCAAGTCTATTAAAAAGTAATAAAACACTAAGAACTATTTTTGTTGGATTATGTGCCATCAACAAACCCCTGCTCCCCGCACCCCAAAGACTTGTATTACTTTATATAGTGGTGAATGTTTCTAGAATGGATAGTCAAGAATCCCGAGAAGTTATGTCAAGAGAATATAAGCCCAGCAAGGTTATCAAAGGAATAAAGGCTGCATTTAGAATGAGTGATGAGTGCCATCACTCATTGTAAGTTTTGAATGAGTGATAATTATGACTGGTCCTTATACTTATGATCAGCATCCCTTTAGTCATATGCACTCATTGCCCAGCTCACAGTTACAACCTTGCAGTATCCAATGGGGTCACATGATTGTCATTTTCAACTTTCACTGCCAGCTTCTGACAAGCAAAAGTCAGTGGGAAAGTTTGGAAAGAGGTCACAATGGGGATCTCATGATGTTGTGCTTAATAATATTTTGCATTTCACTTAACAGAAATTCTGGAACTGAAATTGTGAAGTGACACAGTCATGTTACATCACTGTTTACAATCATGTTTTTAGCAACAGAAATTCCTTGTCCCGATTACCATTATTAGGGCAATGACTGCCTGTGTTACATTTGATAATGTCCACATATATACACATTGATCTTGTTGTTTGAGTTGAGTATCATTCAGACCCCAAAACCAAAAATTACATATAATAATTTATTAGTTTTATTAATTTATAACAAACAAGTGAAAATACAAAAGCAAATAGTAGGGGACAACAGTAGAAAAAGGGAAAACAAAAAAGGTGTGAAGAAGAGGAGGGAAAGAAACAAAAGGCATTGACTTCCAACTCTGTTGCAGTAAAATCAGACATTAAAATCAAATCTCAACTTTTTACATTTCTATAGTATGCGCTAACCATTTCTGTATCGGCAAATCAGTCTAATCGGTAAAACCCAAAATCATAATATCATTTTTTTCCACCTCAAGCACAAAGTCCTGAAGCGGTTTCCAAGTAGAAACAAAAGTACTTACAGTCTTTTCTTTTATGAGCACAGTCAATTTGGCCATCTCTGCTAATTCCATCAGATTTGGTAAACATTTGTCCGTGGTATGAATCGAGCCATCCTTCCACTTTTGTTTATAGAGCAATCTTGCTGTCATCACCATATATAAAATAAGAGTTCCATTTTTTTTCCAGTTCTCTTTCCATTAGACCCAGAAGGAAAGTTTCTGGTTTAATCTTTATGTTCACTTTAAGAATTTTCTGCATTAATATATGAATCCTACTCCAATATTTCTTTGCCTTATCACATGTATATAATGATTGTTTCCACACGTATAGTCAGAATCTTGCCAAATGAAAGCACTCTACTATCTACATCTATCTTATACTCTAAGAACTATAAAGAAGACTCTGTTTTCATCCTCTTTCATACAAAATATGTGGATTGAATTGTTTCTTATTCTTTTAGAATACACCCCTCCCTGGGAATTTATCTTACTACATTCCATCACAGAAATCCTCCTCCTTCATTTCAGTCTCTTAGGCCATATTATCCAACTATATTTTCTTCCTTAATTTTTCCAATTTTGGCATTCCAGATTACAGGCATAAGTGCATATTGTGATTGCTGTGCTGTTAATTTCAAATAGAATTTGATCATAAAATTCATCAACCTCTCTTCTTCTGTATCTATGATTGAAGCATAAGCTTGGATAATTGCTATATTAATTATGTCAACCATATTGACATCCTGATTGTCCAAGAAGTTTAATTGATAGTATTTGGTCATGGTTAGTCATGATTGCATTGTAGCCAAGTACTGTTCTTGTAATATATTTCCTAACTATGAAAGCAATACCATCCCTTCTTTGTTTTTAATGTTTTTGTTCCAGGCAAGTTTAATTTGTTGTTCTCAATTTGCAGTTTGATTTATTTCATCTTGCATTATATTGAGCTTTCCCATATTAAGGCTTCTTATGTTCCATATACTGGTTATCCTGATTAATGTCCACTCTCTCAGCAACCATTCAAATTTATAACAATGTTGAATGATAGGTCCTTAAAGTCGCAATCATTGTAGTCCCTGCAGTCATGTGATTGTGATTCCAGCACTTGGCAACTACCTCCCAATTATGTCCTGGAATCCTGCAAGGTCACAATTTGCAATTTTTGTTGTCAGCTACCAAAAAGCAATAGGAAAGCTAGCAGGAAGTCACAAATGGTGATCACATAACTTTGGGATCCTATGACTATATGGGATTCATCTAAAATCAGCAACAGAGATTGCTATTATAAGTCCACATGACATTGCACATGTCAGTTGGCAACTGAGTTCCCCATTCCAATTACCTTTTGGTAAGCAAGAATTATCTGTACCCATTGTAATTCTATCTTTACAGTTTTGCATTTTTCTTCATGGCAGTTTCTGTGAACATAGCTGCATTTTGTTATATTGTTTATAAGACCAGGCACACTTTGATTACTTTGATGATCAGTTTGTAAGCTATACTGTCAAATTATATAGCAACATTTATTTCCAGTCCCGGTTCTTCCTCAATAATTTGTTGATTGCCTTCTAACCTCGGGTTTAGCATCTGGCACTGTATCATTAGTAACTTATATTGTCCATCCATGTAATTTTCTCAAAAAATACAAGAATACTTTACCACTGCCTCCAGCACTTTCCTATACTGTTGTTGCCCAATAAAGATACCTTGAGTGATCCTGCTGGGCTATATACACTTGCCATCAAGTTATTCTTATCCGAGGAACAAACCTTCTACCACAGTGAGGCAACATATCAGGACTTTGAAATACAAAGAACTATACAATATATTGGATAGTACACGATCCAATAATTATGTTGAAAGTATAATTCCAGTAGGTAAAGTTATTGCAAATCCTCCATATTTAGTATTAAAAAAATTTGGCTTTGAGATTAAATGTTCCCTCAAAAGCAATAAAAAATACCTGAGAGAAATCAAATAAATATGCCATTATGCAAGAGTGGCAAAATTACTTTGTTGTAATTTTCCATTTTTCAGTACATTACAGAGATATACTTGGGATCAATAGTATTTCAGATTGTAAATGGTGTAATTGTAAATTAAAGAAAAAATGTTTATAATATATTAATATATTTTTTTGAAGAATCTTTGTAGTTTTTCAGCTACTGTTTTGCCTAGATTTGGGGATGCTGAGCACTTTACCTGTTTTCTTTATATATGACAATATTTAAAGCTTATAAAATCTGGAACCACCTTTCAGCTCTGTTTGGGTGCCATATATTGCACTGTGAAAAACTTCCCTGAATCTCACTGATTCTCATTAGTTGTAATATTTTCATACCGTAGTGTTTCCAAAAATAGAATTAATAGAAATTGTTCAGGATGAATTCTGCAATTATATATTTTTTTTAAAAAAAAATGCTGTCTTGACAATGATGTGCATTTAAAAAAAGCAGTTGTCTAAAAGAATTTTGTAAAATATAGAATAACATTATTCCTTGTAATACTGGTAAAATAAGTAAATAATTTGGTTTTTTATAAAAATAGGCAAGATATTTATAATTCCTCATATCTACAATTATATCTTTGGTTCTCAAAAGAAATTAAAAGAGCGTTTTATATCAACAGTTAAATGTCTATAGTTTAGATACTTGAACAAATAGTAGAATTATGGAATTATTTTGCCTACTAGCATCCTATACACATACTATTCCAGATTTTCAATTATTAGAGCAGTAGAGCTATCCCTAAGTATAGGAAAGTTTTTCACTACTTTTTAAGAGGAAGACGGAGTATCACAATTTAAATCTCGTCATAGTTAACAAACATCTGCATAGAAGTGTTTTTTTTACTATTTTTACTATTTTTTTACTATTATATGTTTTCAAAAACTTACAGCTTTATATTCTTTCATACTGAAAATATTGCATCCAGTGTTTTCTAATTGTTCAATTTGTAGTGTCACGTTGACCATATAGTGACTAAGACTGGAAGTATTTTGAATTTTAGTGTGGCAGATAAACGTATTTTTCCCCTCTAGGAAAAGAATCTATTTTCTCTTTGAAAATTTATTCTTAAATGAAGATATTGTAGATTCACACATTTAACAAGAATTTAAATATTTTCAAAACTTTCAAACTTTATATAAGAATAGGACTTTTAGGACTTCCTCTATGCCACAGGTCGGCAACCTGCGACTCCGGAGCCTCATGTGGCTCTTTGAGTCTTCCCCTGTGGCTCCCAGTCTCCTCTGCCATTTGCAGACAGAGACAGAGAGAGGCACTTGCGCTTTCCTGCGTCTCTGTTTCTCTCTGTCTCTGTGTTTGTGTGTGTGTGTGTGTGTGTGTGTGTGTGTGTGTGTGTGTGTGTAAAAGAATGCACTCAGAGTGTTCTCCGAGGAGCTGAAAAGCTTACTGGGCAGAGCTCCTCCCTTTGTTGCATCTCTGCAGGAAGCAGAAAAGGCAGGAGAGAGCTAGCTAGCCCAGCTATGCTGACTCAGGAATTCTAGGAATTGAAGTCCAAGAGTCATAAAAGAGCCGAGGTTGCCTACCTCTGAGCTTATTGGAGAATAGCTTGCCAGGTGAGCAGAAGAGCTTGTTGAAGCCAGCTTGCCAGGTGAGCAGAAGATCAGAGAGAGGGAGGGAGGAGAAAGAGAGGGGGGAGGAGAGAGGGGGGGAAGAGGACTGGCAGACCAAGGGCAGAAAGAAAGAGAGGAAGAAAGAGGGAGGGAGAGAGAAACAGAGAGAGAGAGACTCTTTTGATATCTAAAATGAAGATAACACTGCATACATCCTTTTTTACCTTTATGAGATAGATAGATAGATAGATAGATAGATAGATAGATAGATAGATAGATAGATAGATAGATAGGTGTGTGTGAGTGTGT